ATGTTGACCAGGCTGGTCTCGAACTCCTGACCTCAGGTGATCCACCTGCCTTGGCCTCCCAAAGTGTTGGGATTACAGGCATGAGCCACCGCACCCAGCCGAAAAATACATTTTAAGCCCTTTCTGGGTGATCTATTTTATACCCTGGAAGACATTAGGGGTCACATGGTGTGAGTCAGACTCTCCAAGTTAGAGGGATATGGAATACGGAGGGCAGAGGTGAGGCTGCTTGGGTTTATCCTGCTGGGAAAATGATTATTCTGCCAGACTGCTTTTCCTTTAGGGGAAGTTTTTGGTAAGTTGAGTACTAGAGCCTGGTGGGGAGAGTGGGGAGGATGGAGGGGCTAGTGGAGAAAGGGCTGAAGGAGTGTGCTGCCTTAGGAACAAGGAGGCTGCAGCAAGGGAGGAGCAGGGCCTGCTCAGGGACTTGCAAAGGGTCTCGAAAAAGGGGACTGGAGTGCCGAAGGCTTGCTGCCTGGCTTCAGATTACTGGCTGCCCAAATTACTTAACCTCTCTTTATCTTAGATGTCTCAGTCTAAAATGGAAGAATAATAGTATTTATCTCAAAGGGTTGTTCTCAGGATTAAATGAGTTAAAGGTGAAGTGCTTAGCAGAGCGATCCTCCTGCCTCAGCCTTCCAAAAAGCTGGGATTACAGACGTGAGCCACCATGCCCAGCCCTCTTCCTTTGTTTATGTAGATCTGAGTTTCTGACCTACATCCTGTTTTCTGTGAATAATGTCTTTTAACATTTCTTGCAATATGGGTCCACTGGCAACAAATTCCACCATGCTCAGCCCTCTTGCTTTCTTTATGTAGATCTTAGTTTCTAACCTACATCATTTTTTTTTGTGAATAATGTCTTTTAAGGTTTCTTGCAAAAAAACCCAGATTTTAACTTTTCTTGTTTGTCTGAAAAAGTATTTCTCCTTCATTTCTGAAGGATAATATTTCAGAGTATAGAATTCTAAGTTGGTGTTTTTTTTCTTTCAACACTAAATATTTCACTCCACTCTTTTCTTATTTGCATGATTTCTGATGATAAGTCGCCTGTAGTAATTATCTTTGCTTCTCTTTAGGTAAGGTGTTTTTTTCCCTTTTCTGCCTGATTTAAGGATTTTGTCTTTGTCTTTGCTTTTCTACAGTTTGATATAATACGTTGAAGGTGTAGATTTTTGGGTAGTTATTGTGTTTGGTATTCTCTGAGCTTCTTGGATCTGCGGTTTGGTATGTTTCATTAATTTTGGAAAATCGGGCCATTATTTAAGTATTTCTTCTGTCTCATTTTTTCTTCTGATATTCTAGTAGCACCTTTTGAAATTGCTACAACTTTTGAAATTGTCCCACAGTTAATAGATGTTGTTTTTGTGTGTTCTTTTTTCTCTTAACAGTCCGTTTTGCCAAGTTTATTTTCTTTTGTTTCTTTTATGTATTTATTTTGAGATGGGATTTCACTATGTTGGCCAGGCTGGACTCAAACTCCTAGACTCAAAATAATCCTTGTGCCTCAGCCTTTCAAGTAGTTGGGACTACGGGTGCATACCACTGTGCCTCTCCTAGGAAGTTTCTGTTGCCATTTTTCAAACTTCCTGATTCTTTTCTCACCACATCCAGTCTGCAGATGACCAATCAAAGGCATTCTTTATTTCTGTTAGTGTTTTTATTTTTAACATCTACTTTTTATCCTTAAAGTTTCCATCTCTGCTTGTATTATCGATCTGTTATTTCATGTTGTATACTTTTCCATTCGATTTCTTAGCATATTAATCTTAGCTGTTTTAATTTCCCTGTCTGATAATTTCAAGATCTCTGCCATATCTGAGTCTATTTCTGATGCTAGTTTTCTCTTTTCAGACTGTGTGTTTTCATGTCTTTTAGCATGCTTTGTAATTTTTAGTTGAAAACCAGATATATCAGGTAATAGGAATTGAGGTAAATAGGACATTAGAGTGATGTTTTATCTTCAACTGGCTAGAAATTGGGCTGTGTTTAATGTTTGCTGTAGTTGCAAGTGCTAGAGGCTTGAAATTCCTCTCATTTTCTTGTTTTGTCTCCCTTGATGCCTTTGAGTTTCCCTGAAGACTCCTCCTTAGAGTTTGTGTCTTACAATTCTTTCAGTTGTAATCCACTGTTGTTTTACTGGAGCCTTGTTAGTGTGGTGGTGAGATATTGAGAAGAGGGGGAACATTCTGTAATCTTACGATTAAATCTTTCAGTGGGTCTGTGCCTCTGGGCTGGGACCTTCAAAGTGTGTCTTAGCTTCTCTTCTCCCTCAGCTTCTAGTAGTTCAAGTGAGGTACGGAGGCTAGACAGGCCTGGTGTACTGGCCCTCAGTAATTTCCCAGTCTCATGCTGGTCCACACTCAGCCTCTATGAATTCATCAAAATTACCATGTAAGTGTTCCTTCCAATTCATGACTTTGGAGGCTTCTGCTTCACATAAACGGGTCTTGACTCTGACTCTCTGGGTTTGCCTATCTCAACAGATTTTGTTATGGTGGTTTACCTTACTACCTAATTTCTCTGATGGCACCAGGAAAAGTTGTTGGTTTTCAGTTTGTTCAGCTTTTTTTCTTGTAAGGAGTGGTGAATTAAAAGTTCTCCACATATCAGAGCTGAAACTAGGAGTCTCAGCTTCTTAAAAACATAACCATTTATTTTAAAATTCCAATAACTGCGTTAGCTATATCCTATAAGTTTTTGGTAAGTTGAATGTCAGTGTTATTAAATTCCAAGTACTTGTTTTGCTAAAAATATTTTTTTGTTTAAAAAATTGTAATAGTTACTTAAGGGCTTTGTAATCACAGCAATATATATGATTAGATAGCTTTGATCATTTTTTGTAGTTTATACACATTGTTAATTTGCTAACTAATAATACTGAGCATGTTTTCATTTGTCTCCAGATTCTAACAAACCATTTTTTAGGAAGATATAATTTACATATCATACAATTTACACATTGTATTAGTTTGCTAGGGCTGTCATAGCAAAGTATCACAAACCGGGTGACTTAAACAACAGAAAGTTACACAGTTTTGGAGGCTGAA